TTTGCAGAGAGAGAGAGAGAGAGAGAGAGAGAGAGAGAGAGAGAGAGAGAGAGAGAGAGTATATATACGATTTATTTATAAGTATATATATGATTTATTTTGCATCTGTTTAACTCGCACAGAAAAATTTTGTGAGTTTTATTTGTTCGATTTATTTTAGATTTTTGTTTTAGATGAATTCAGACAAGTTCACCTTCGTTATGTATTTTTTTTTAACCCAGGAAAGTCAGCTATAGAAAGAATTTTATGCGATACCATGTGGCCAAGGAGTTGTCAGTAAACGTGTATAAAAAGTGGTACATACGTCGATATTGCGATCGATCGAGGTCAAATTGGCCTATGGAATCCTGCAGGCCCTGCTTGAAAACTCAGCTGTAACGATACAAGAATTCGCAGAAATGCTTGGGGAACCAGTCGCAACTGCAGACTATAAGTCGCGGGCTCAGCGCGATTTGTGAAAAAACTATCGCATAGATCAAACTTATATATAGATCTAGTAAAATATAGTACATAAAAATTGTTTCAAAATAATATTTTCTTACATTAAATTTTCTTAGCTTTAAAAGAGAAATACATATTTTTTTCTAAGGATTTAAAAAAATACGAAGACTAAGCAAAGTCATAATTATAAGAAAATGTTATACAAACTGTAAAATCAAAACATTTCATTTAATTGTACAAACATTCTCTATATGCTACCATTCTCTACGAATAACAAATTCTAATCTTTACATAAATTATATCAAGAATTTATTTAATAACGACCATTTATAATATTTATAATTAGTTACTAAGAATTAAAGAATAGTTTTCTTTGACTAATCACTTCGTGATCTATAAGACTTTAAAATAAAAGCAATTATATTTAATTATTAATATTATTATGTATACACGAAATTTTCTGTACGGTATATATCATACATCATTTATATTTTATAAATAAAATTTTTTTCAACATACGTTGGATTTATTTTTAAGCCATGAAATATTTAAAAAATATTTAGAAAGTAAAAATACTTGTTTACTTCAATTTGTTGTTAACATTTTCTTTGGGATAAAAACATTTTATTTGTTTATAATCTGGTAAAGATAGATTAGATACATTAGGCTTGGTGAAAATCTTATCTGTTCCAACATTTTATGCTCTTAAAATAGATAAACTATTTCATTGTGTAAAACTTTAAGGAAAAAAATTAATGCATTATTTAAATTCTCTTTAACTGATCAAATGTAATCATGACTTCAAGAACTTTCGTAAAAAAAGTCATCTTCTATGTTGTGTAATCAAAGTTATACTACAAGGTTGCAATCTGCATATTAATATTTGGGTTAGTTTGGAATTTTCCAAGAACATTTAATCCTGTCAAAGTCATTTTAATACTTCAAAAAATAATTCCGTTATTTTAAGAAATGGAAAAATGATTACGCGTGATTAAAGATATATTAATATTTACTCACCTCATCAATACGTTAAAAATAGAAAAAGTATGAAAATTAAGAAAAATTATAATTAAATTAAATATAGCAATTTTATACAGATATCTCTCTTATTTTAAAGAAAGTTAATCAATTTATGCCTAATTTCTTCATCTCTAGATAACTTTATCCAAGAGATATCTCTCAGAATACAGTGGAGATATCTCTTGGATAAGGTTATCCGCAACTTATCTGGAAGTAAAAAAATTGAGCATTAGCTTTTTATCAATTTTTGTAATTTTATTTTACTACTGCACTGATTTTACTGTACTTTTTGAATCGTTTAAATGGGCACTTTTTAAAAATTAATTTACATGTAGATGCAACATAAGTATTATTTCATGTCTTGCACATATATCAAATATATTTTAATTTAAATATTTATTTTTTATTTTATGAAAAAAAGTATTATTCTTTCGTTATTTATTGTTAAAATTGATTTAACTTTACTGGTGTAAACAGAAATTGGTTGTAGATTTTAAATGAGTCATGGCTATAGAGTAAGAAAGAGAATGGTTAATAAAACACTGAACGAGGACGTGTATATATATATATATAAGCTTCATCGCTACGCGCGAATCAGTCTTAATACTTATTCGTTATACAGCTGTTTGGTTCGCTTCAGAATATATACTTCAGAAAGTGTTTCTTTATAAGATAAATTTCGAATTGAAATATGTTTATTATAATTTTTGCTTTTGCGCTTATAGCAACAAATTATGTTACAGCAGAAATACGTGAGTAAAAAAAAAAATATACACTTATCTTTGTCAAAAAATGATTCTTTCCTTATTGTTCATAAAAAAATTACAAATGTTTTTTATTATAATTATCACAATTACGCGGAATGTATTAATAATTATTAAAATAATAAAACGTAACTCAAGTTGGACCGTTGTGTAAAGAAGTTTGCAGACATTGCGATAATGTTAATTATTAGGTATAATGCAATAACTCAACGAGGTAATACAAACTGCATGCCTCGCATTCGCCAAGTCGTGAACATGTAGTATTAAATAGCAATAACGTGAACGCATATTAGAAAAAAAATGCTTACGAAAAGAAGCTGTGTTCCAGTTTTTAAGCACTTAATTAAAATTACAGGTGTAGCCAATATCAACTTCGACAAGAATTTCTTGTCGAACATTTCATCACACGTTTTACGATATATAGCATATACATCTAGAAGAGAACGTCTTATAAAGCATTTTTGCAACGCAACAACATATTTCGTAGACTTGACTTGCTGTGCAGTCGCTTGTAACAGATTTATATTCTCAAAAGTGTAGAGTATCCTAATGCGAAAATAGTATAACAAAATTATTAAATAAAAATTCTGTAACAATATTCAGAATCTTTTTATTATGAAACACTTTATTATTAAATATAAAATTCATGAATAAATATAAAATTGAATATAAAATTTAATTCTTCAATTATTATTTCACGTATCTATGCTACGATTTAATTAAAAGTGTTATATTATATTATATCTTTCAAGATTTGATTTTAACTCTATTAAATTATCTTAATTTAAAATCACAGACTTTATTATAAAAGAATTGGGTATTTCTTTAAAATTTTCACATTTTATCATCCTTTATTTTATTTATCCTAATACTGATGATTTTATTCATAATTACATTTAATAAAGATAGAAATGTTTGCTTTTTGAAAAATTTGTTTATTAAATATATTATGTTTGGCTCCTAGCTCTTGTTTTTGTATATTTGATTTATAATCACTTGAGCCGTTTTCTTATTATTTTTGATTTTAATAAAGGTAATTTATATTTTTTATAGCCTCCTTTATTAATATATGTGGACGCAAAAATCCGAATCTTAATAAATGCATTTTGGACAACATCGATAATATAAAAGACAAGATCTGCGAAGGAATCCCGGAATTAGACGTTGAGCCGAATGATCCATTCGTTATTGAAAAATTAATCATTTCTGATACATCTAATTCTAAAATATCTCTTACAAATGTACAAGTGACGGGACTTTGTGATTTTAAGGTAAAATACCTTCAATCAGATCTCGAGAAACTTCACTTCGATTTTGAGCTTGTATTTAGACGGATTCAATTGAATGCCACATATGATTTCGACATACGTTTACTGGTGCCTATTGTTCACAAGGGACCGGTTTACATCACTACAAGTACGTAAGATAATCGATATTGCATTATACTTAGAAAGGCAGAAAATAGAAAATGTCTGTTTCAATGTAATGATTCATAATTTAATACTTTTTCGCCACAATTATTTTAATTTTGCAGATGATGTTGAAGCAAAGGTAAACATAGACATGAATGTAGTAACTAGAAACGGCAAAAAATACGTGTACTTAGCAAAGATGAAGATAAATCTTGACCTCAAAGGATACATCGCTGAATATGGCTTGGATAACACAGAACTAAGCCGATTAAATGAAGTCATTAGCAATTTTATAGGCAACAATCAACAGGAGGTTATTAGTGTTTTCAAGCCGGCAATAGAAGAAACAATTGTTAAACGAATTATCTTGCTTTCCAATAATATAGTTAAACACTTTACGTTGGACGAGCTTTTCCCTGATCGAGAATAAATCACGTAATAAGTTTTCGAGTTCCATTGTCATTTCGCCGATTTCATGATTTACTTAATCCTTTCGTACTTTCGGGTTTTTTAAAAGAGATTTCATATAAAGACGGTTCATATGAAGACGGTTTTATAAGTTTTTTTGGGGGTGCTGATTCCAAATTTACTATTAAAATTTAAATTCAAAATGACGAATTTAAGACGGTTGTTATGAAAAGTTGAAATATTCAAAATATGAATTTCGGATTTTATTTTTTTAAATACATATCGTTGCGTACACGTATAAACACAAACACACACACACACGAGACTATTCAACCTAAAATATATTTAAAATGGTAAAAGTTCTCTAAAAGAAAAAGACTTTTGAATTATGCACAGTTTTTTTTTACGTATATAAAATATTATAATATGTACCATAATAAAGTTGTGATCACAGACTCTAAGTATATAATTAATATTTATTCTATGATTTTTTTACATAATGTACGACTAGTATATAGTTATTCTTTACCATCAAAAAATTTTTGCAAAGTTTAGATACTAACTATATTTTAATGAAAATATTACATTTCAAAATGTGCAATTTTTTGGCATGAAGCTTGAACCTTTTCTTTAAAAGAAGTCAAGATATAAAAGTTGATAGGATTACTTATTTAAAAATAATAATTTCTTTTGTAGATGGGATATATATGTCCCGGATGTACGAAAGGGTTAAAGAATATTCGGAATTACAAAGTTTTCGTGTTAAATTAAAATTTTAAATACTTCTAGTTTGAACATAATGTTTATAAGAATTTTATATCTCAATATTTGATATAAGTGTTGTACAATTATTAGAAAAAATGAGAACATGTAGACATAAAATTGCGACGATATGCTTTTTGTTATATATGTGTATTTACATTTATATCTTATAACATCTATATATTCTAAATATGTATTAACTATCTCTTACATATATACTATATATCTTTTTTTTCTAATTTCATGACTATTCATATATTTAGATAACCCTCAATTACAGCTATGAAAACTACGCCTAAATTCTAAAGTGTCTTGCTTGAAGTGTAGAATTTTAATTTTAAGAATGTAAGTGAACCCCCGTCTTACAGCGATTGAAGGAAAAGGTCCCAAATTTTTTTTACTTACAATTTAGAATCTCATAGTATCATACGGATTGTACGATCGTTCAAAAATTTATATTTCGATTTCTAATGATCAGTTGCTGTAGTTGAGGATTAACAACGTAAATATGTCTACATATATAAAAATACTAAAAAAAAATTATATATTAAAGTTTATACATTAAAATAAATTACTTAAGGTAATATACACAGAATTAAATACTGTATGTGTTTGTTATAGTGTATTTTATAATGTTGAAGAAAACTGCTTTAAATTATTAAATATTGTTGCACCTATGTGATTGTTTTGGTAAAAGAAATTTAAACAAAAAGATGTAATATGCAAATCACTTAATAAATCTCAATTATACTCACGTTATATTTATTGTCAATTTTATGTTAATTACCAGTTTTCAGACGAGCATGAATATTACGAGTAGAGGAAAATTGGAGGAGATTTAGATAACTTGTGCACACGCGACGGCAATATCGCGATCTTAATTAATTTAATTTTAATTTAATTTAATTTAGTTTAGTTTATTGCAGAGAGAGAGAGAGAGAGAGAGAGAGAGAGAGAGAGAGAGAGAGAGAGAGCTATATGAAAAGATTACATATTAACAGAGTAATAAACATAAAATATGATACAATAGACTATAGTTAACATAAACATAAATACAATAGACAATAGTAGCTTGCAAATGGTTAGGCAGAATTGCTGTTACAAAGCCTACCAGTAACTAGAATGAGACAACAACGCAATAAGAGTTAAATCAATAGCTGAAATCATACACACGCACATACCCGCAAACACACCAATTACACCAGTTTCGTTTAAATACTGTGAGTGACACGATGAAACGCGAGGCAGCGGAACGGAAAGAAGAAAGAGAGGTAGAGGTTTTTATTGAATCAGGAAGGAAATTAAAATATTTGACAGAGGTGTAGGAGAAAGCGGCACGGAACTTAGTGGACCGATATATGGGGAAGGATAAGTAATCTTGGTATCTGATGACAAGAGGGTTAAAAGAGGAATGATGTTCTGAGTTTGAGCGAAGGAGACTTCTCAGATATAGAGGAGTATTGGAGCGAAAGAGAGAAAATACAAGATAGCACAGGTGGAGAATAAAACGTTGCCAAATCTTAAGCCAGCCAGATCTCTGGTAATACGGAGATATATAGTCGTATTTACGTACGCCATAGGAGAAGAGCTACAAAAATATTGTAGAGATCACTGGGAGTAATTAGAGCAAAGGTGAAGGTCGAGGAAACATGAGGAGAGGAGGAAAAAAGGTGAGCAAAAGAGTTAGAGGAATAAGACGAATAAGGTAGAGAAATAATAAGGTATCAAGAATAAGGTATTAGAAGCAGAGGAGGATTGTGCACCGCCAATGGCACGGAGATTTTTCCAGAATTGGAGCGAGGAATCAGTTGTAAGGGAGGTAGAGAGGAAGGACTTTTTCTCACGACGAACATCAATATTCACGTTATTCCGCAACTTTTATAGCGCTGCCAGTCTGCAGGAGACCGATATCGCCTGTATCTAAGAAGGGCGCGTCTCTTCAGCTCAATGAGCCGTTATAAGTAATCGGGGTGAGTCGGTCAAAAATTGCAGTAAGAGAGGCAGTAAATCTTCATGTTAATTATGCATATAACAAAAAATCGTTCCGTAATAAATATAAGTTTATTTTATAGGTAAAAGATAGCACTTTAAAGTGGCTTAAATGAATTGAAAAAAAAAAGTTTATTTTATAGCCACCAAAAAATGGTAAATATGGCCAGAAACGTCAATTTTGACACAATTAACCTCAATTTTTTTCGAAAACATGACGTATTAGACCAATTCCACTGCGGATTCGTTTTCAGCGAATAAATAAAACACATCGGAAAATGTTTCATTTATTCAGGTCTCCATAAAAGGTTTATTGTATAACTGTGTAATTTGCAACTAATGCATAATTTATGATTTCTGATAAATTATAAGTTGTTAGACGTAGATTTTACATAATCAAAGAATTTACTTATCTGTATTCAATACAATTTGTTATTAATATTTTGTTATTAATATTTGTTACTAATATTTTGGTTATTTGTTGATGCAACAACGTTATTACAAACACATTTACTAAATTAAATATATTGTTTAATATTTTTGTAATAAATTACAAATTAAATATCACAGTACAATTCGTAAAATGGACTGGTACTATTATTGTGAATGTGTAATAATACTGAGGATAAATTTGTGATTAATTTATAAAATATTACACATTTTTAAAAATATATGAGTTATTTTATGAATAAATTATAATGAATTTGGGAAATAAAATATAAAAGATGTAATAATCTTAATATTGTTTAACAAATACTGCAATCAAAAACTTTATTCAATGTTTCATAATGCATTGAATTTATCGAGATCGGTACGCTCATTAATTAAAAGGCTATTATTACAAATATGTAAGTTATAATCACAAAGATTTTACAGGTGTTTCCTTCTTACGAAGCAATTAGACCTTTTTTGCACAGTGTGTTGTTTACTATACGCCGATAATCGTTTTTTGTTTGCACTGACGTATATTCAAAGTTTTTAATTGCATCGAGTGAATAATGAAAGAATCGAAATTGAAACAAACATTTTGCTTCTGTGCTCTATTAACAAAATAGAAAAGCACTTGATTTTCGATCAAGAATTTTCCACATCTATTTCTAAGTGCTTGTTAATAACTTAGGTATTTTTTGCAATTAATAATAATGGTAATAAATCCAGAAATTACATGTTCAAAAGATTTTATAATAAAATTAACAAAAACGTTTTTCTAAATTTTTTTAAAAAATTGGCTAATACTTTTTTATCTTATTTTGTTTTTCCTTTTTAAAAATATTCTGTTATGTAACGTTACTCCTTTTGAGAGCTAATGTTGTGCAAACGCTTGATTAAACCTATCAGATCATAGGTTATTAACGTTTTCTGCAAAATGATTATAATTGAATTTTTAAATAATACGAAGATTGTTCCATGATTTTGATTTAATTTCTTGATCTCCTATTTTCTATCAAAATTAAATTCTGGTTTAGTGTGTGTCTTGATTAGGTCATTTATATTTATTATAAAATTTTAAAAAATTTAACAAACTTAACAATGTAAAACTCAATTGACTCATGCAAAAAAGATTCAATATAGTGAAAAATAGCAATAAATTTTCCTAATTCGCTCCATTGCTTATTTTGCAATAAAGCTTCAAATTTTATTTAAGTGTTTTCCAGCCCGCCTGATCGTCTGGATTACCACATATTGATCTATGCGCCGGGGAAGAGTTGGGCGAATGTAAATTGTTGAATAATGCTGGTAGTAAGATTCTGGAATGAGTCAGATAGTGCTTTTTCCACGAGCGGCAAAAGCTCCTTCAGGAAGAGATCGAAATTGTTGTTGATAGCCGAATTGACGACATCTCCAAGGGCTTTTTCGCCACCAAATAAATTATCTAGCCTTATTGTACCCTTGTCTACTGAGATTTTCAATTTGAAGTCCGTGATGCGCATCTTTTCTTCGCCGTCCTCGTCAAGGTATTTCTCAATTTGCATTTTACAGGCGCCTGAAAAGTTAACCGAGATCGTATAAGATAAATAAGTCAAATGTATAAAATTATGGAATTATAATTTATATAATAGTAAATACCTATGCAATTTGAGAAATTGCCATGAATCGGGCCGGATCCACGAATCGGAATTAACAGTATCTTGCCGTCGACACTATATGTCCCTTCAACTTGAATATTTGGCAATTCCACATCCACCAAGAAGATCAAAGTATTGAAGTCGAGTCTTGGAAAAAAGAAATACAGCATTAGCATACAATCAGGAAAACAATGAGAGAAGTTTATTGTACGCTCATCACATCTTTCAATTCATGTTTGCAACTTCCATTTATACAAATGAAATTATTATGTTAACTAACTTATGACAGAAATTCCTTAAAATGATGCAAGTGAGGTTTTTATTTCATGTATCTCAACTAATCTCACTTGATCTGAGACTGACATATAAAGATTACGGTTTACATGGATTTTATCAAATTTTATTACAGTTATTGTTACTACTGTATCACTATATGCTGTGTTTTAACTTCGTAATTTTCTACTATAATGTAAAAATTTTTAATAGATACGCTTGTAATTAAAACAAAATTACAATAAATTACATTTAATTGTTAGAAAATTATGGTCTTACAAATTCCTGGCATTATTGTCAAGATATTAGATATTGCAATACATAATACAAAGAGTCAATATGAACAGTATGTATAATAAGAATCCTATGGAATGTGGATGGATATCTCGATAGATACACGATATATTGTCATTAAAATAGTGAATCTCTCTTTCACAGTTCTCATACATGGGAAATTACTACAATAACTGACAATTTCAATGTACAGTGTGGAGCCTTTCTTACTGTATTCACATTATTACAACGCTATTATAAGTTTTGTCTCTTTCTATTTCTTTCTCAATGCTTGATATATTGTTTAACAAATGTCTTTTTAAATTTCGAATGCTACAAAGTATCGAGAAACACCACCGGCGATTACAGTTTCCGACCGGTTTTCTGTGGTCTTTATAGATTATTTATCTTTTTTCCTTTCTTGCAATCTTCGAGGAGTAAGCATGAGTACTATTAACGCTTTGTAGACACACTTCGAGTGTTCGTGTCACGGCCATATATGCGTAGAATACAAACGACACAGTATCCGTTCCTCAATTGCACATTACAAATTGCATAATTTTCTTTAAATATAATTATGTGTCTTTTTAAATCAATTGGATCGTCTCATTATTCTATGCGTGGAAGTATTAAAATAAAGTCATTGAAAATAAATATTACACGAAAAATTTTGTATCACGTGTTAAAATATATTAGAAAAAAATATATAAAATTTTTCGTAAGTAGTTTTTAATTTTAATATTTTTAATGCATTTAAGAAATCATTAGTGACTTATTTAAAAAATATTAATAAAACGTCAACTTCTTTTAAAAGGAAAATTATTTAAAATTTAAAAACGTCATTCATTTCTTTATTTTGCTAGACATACAACATACGTAACAAGTCAACGGCAGCATAAACTTCATATGTGCACAATCACTTCTTTGTAATCTTATGTAATCTAGTTGGATTTATCGCTAAGCAGAAAAAGAGAGAGAGAGAGAGATGAGAGAGAGAGAGAGAGAGAGAGAGAGAGAGAGAGAGAGAGAGAGAGGAATGGATGGATGTGCAGTATGATTCAATTTAATATTATGAATGATTCGTAGACTAAAATTTTGTTCATAAGGATGTGATCATTATCCAATAATATCCTCTCAAGGTCACTAATGCATAATTGTGCAGAGATTCAAAACGCTTGTTTAAAAATAAAGACACAAGTAAATTGTTTTGTAAGATTTCAGTAACTTGAATTTTATTATGTCACTCACATCACACTATATACGACCATACGTTATTCTTGTAAAAACGTTAATCGTTCGTTTAGGAAAAGACAAATTATGTTTTGTTTAACAAATTAAATTAAATTAAATCAAAACATCTAATTTATGAAATAAAATAAGTTATCCACATAGCTAGTATTAAAAATTGCAAAAAATGTTGTATAAAAATGTCAAGTTTAACTTTATATTAGAGGATTAGCGATAAAAAATATTTCTCAAACCTGCATATAAAAAAATTTTTAAAGTATTTATACTGTTATAATTATTTCACAGACATATTACGGTGTCGCGTGCTCGCATCTTCTAAAACTGATCTTTGCAAGCTATCCTGTAATAAATAGTATTACATTTTTTATACTTACTTCACTTTTTTAAGTACAAAGTTGCTGGCACCCTTTGCCTCAACATCAGTTGCCTCTAGTCGTAAACTACTTGATGGTAGAAACTCTAATTTTTTTAGTATGAGAGGTTCCAACGATGGAATATTATATTCCGGTACACCTGTTTTAAGATACGGTTTCAAATACTCTATACTCTCAGTGACACATGTCTCGTAATGCGGATCTTGCGTTTGACAAACGTGCAGGAACTCGGCTGCAATCATAGTGAAAGCCGTCATAAGATTGTTATAAATATAGTAACATTGGAAATATTATATAATAAGCGGTCGTTGCTACAAATTTATACCAATCTTTAATTTTTATTTACCGTTTAATTTCTATTTATAAAGTGAGTCACGTTTCGTTCGAGCTGCGATCAACATGCGTTTTTTAACTCGATACTCTTTAGTGAATATAAATTGTAATTGGCTTGATCCAATATCGAGACGAACTCCTTCTATGTCTTGGGATTACAACATCAAATCTGTTAATATGATGGTGATTTTTTCTTGAACATGAAGGGATTGATATTTTGAAATTGTATTGCTGAGGATGGTTCCAAAGTGAACTGAAACGTACTATTATTTTTTGGAATAAAGCTTCTATTTTCTAGATTAAAGATTTAAGATTGTGTATTAACTACCACGCTGACTTTCATTCGCCCTGTTTTTTTGGATTTTTTGTTGTCCTATTTATAAATACAAGATTTAATTTTTATAATGTAATATTCTTTTAATATAATGCATTGATACGATCTTCGATTAAGAGCGCATTTTATATTTATCATTCACTATTTAAATGCATTTACATTAATGCAAAGAACATAAATCAACTTAACAAAATATACGTTTCTTTTTATAAATTATATTTATAGAGAAACGTATATTTTGTTAAGTTGATTTATGTTCTTTATGCAATATTTCTTAGCAATTAGAAAAACATAAAAAATAAGGTTAAAACTTATATGTCCAAAAGTATTGAATTTGATAACACATATGACTTTTTACTCAACACAAATAAAAACCTTGACAAATGTTTCTTATGCGAGAAGCTACGTTTTATCAAAGTTAGCAATATTTAGCATTTTTATAAATACTTATTAAATAATAAATATTTCCAAATGTCCTTATTCTATATGTAAATAAAATTGCCAATTTTCTCTACTAAAAATATTTTATTTTTCCTGTATGCTTTTAGCAATAACTGATTAATTTCAACACTTCCTGTAAGATACCATGTATATATATGTGTATGTGTGATGTGTGATTTTTCAAATGTTTCTTGTCTAATAATTTATTCTTCGAGCAAAATTGTATAACATTTTATTTCTGTGTACTCTATTTTTGAATAAATTCTAACAAAAATTACAGATTATCAGAAGTACCTAATCTTAATGTTGACAATATCAACTTAATTTGCGCATAGGTATGAGTTTATTTTCAATTGCAAACGTATTCAGAAATCTTAATTACGATGCTAATAACAGACATACTTTTAGCATTCATCCCTCTCTCTCTCTCTCTCTCTCTCTCTCTCTCTCTAATAACTTGTTTGTATATAATAGTGTAATAGTACAGTAGAGAAACGGTATAAGTTTACCAAAAATAAATAAGCCATATAAAACTATCTTTAAAAAATTTTTATTCCATTGATATTATTTAGTTAGTACTTAAGTCAATATTAAAAATATAAATATTACTTTTGGGGGATTTTACCTGTACTATTTACTTACGTATATCTCGTGAAGCTATCACGCCGCTCGTCGCCACGGCCAAGAGGATCGTAAATGTTGCCTTCGCTGATGCCATTTTTCAAAAAATAGAAAATGAGCAGACAGGAAGCTCAACAAAATTATCTTCCGGCAATAAAGGCCTGGGTGCAAGATTCGACGATGGGGTTGCTGGACCAAGGACCCACGGCGGCAAGTGGTCCGAGGATAGTCAGGCTGGAAGTGTATAATCCGACAATCTGAACGTCTTATAACAATGACCATCTCTCCCTCTCCATATTACCCGCTACCCCCCACAAACAAAACAAAAGCCATTATTGTTACTTGTATGATATCTGTCTTTATGCATTTGCAAAAAGAAAAGTGCATGTACCGATTGTGAGAATGAACATGTACAGATGGGTGATTTGGTTGTGGACATGCATATTATGCAGACAATGATAGACTAATATATGCTTTTTTATTAAACGGTATCACGGATGTTGCTTCAGTATCATATCTCATGGACTTCTATTGAAAGCAAAGAGGAAATGACAAGGTCATATGATGTCTGACCGAATAGAGAAGTTTCGGGATATGTTCTACATAAATAATCAATTTCTCGTTACATTGTAATTATAATTGAAGAATCCACTAGTTTTTTTTAAAAACTCATTTTAAAAATAATTGTAATGTTAGTTTTTCTGTTTTTTTCTAAATTTTATTCCTATTGGCATTTAAATTAAAAGCTTAAATTTGCTCTTTCAAATTGTATCCAATTTACAAGATGATTATTCGATGTCTTCCCTTTCAGAGATTTACTGCGAAGCTGGCGACGCATATCACCAAAATTTTGATCTAACTTTTCTATTTTGAAAAAAAGTTTAACCACCGTTTAAAAACAAAATACTATTAAATTTTGTTTTTTTAGAAATTGTGAGAATAAAGAAACAATTGTCTACTTGATTTTAACGTTTTTCGCGATCTTGGCAAATAGTAATTTCATAATCTATTCAACGAATATCATAGAAACATAAATTAATCTAGTAACAAACTTAATGGCTTCAGTACATTAAATTTTATAAAGTTTCATGAAAAATTCATAAAATGTCAGGTACATGTACACACTTGTACCGAAGCGCACATGTGCGTGTTACTGGAAATGCGGAGGAACGCGAAGGGAGAAAATAGTAGGAGGCACTCCGATATTCTGTTAGCGCAAAACGCATGATTGAGAGAGAAAGCATAATTGGATGTGATGCCGACTCGCGGTGTCCTTTCGCTGTCACACACATTTGTTACTAGTCAAGTGAGATACCCCGGTGTCTCTCGCTCGCCAATATTTATAACAATACTTTTATTATACACAAAATGTTGTAATTATGCATAAAAATTTTTAATACTGTAAAATACTGTAGCGCCGCACGCCGAACGCCAGGGGACACCATTCCTGCCGGTGCGTGTACACAAATATACTTTTCAGTTATAAATGCATTAAATTTAATGTAATATCGTGAAATTAAATTCAAATTGTATAAAAGTTAATTAAAGTTTAAAAGTACATTAAATTTCATGGAATTTTTAACAATGTATGTATGAAGGATATATTTGTTTTTAAAAAAGTTTGTTATAATACTGAAGATGACCGAAACGTTTATATTATAGCTTTTTTAATGAATTAATAAATTATAATTGCTGTATAACAACTAACTTTAACGTAGGTTTTGTATACTTGTTTCTCGAATTAAGTTTGCATCTAATGTTGTATTTTGACGAAAATTCGTTATATTTAATGTGCCGTAAATTGAGAAAGATTTTAAAATGTTTAAAATGTAGTCACGGCCTATTTGTAATTTCTTTGTAAAAATAGCTTTTAAGTGATTAAATAATAAAAGACAAATATTTCAAGATATCATCCGTATATGTATATTACGCAACGTGCTGACAATGCTATTTGACCATTAATGTGATTATGCATGCGTACCAAAGAGTAGTGAAGAATGCGTGATGAGTTTCACGAATCAATGGAAGTAAATACATGTAAAAAAAGTATAATTTTTCACTGTATTTCCTAAAGTTAAAAGATTATGTAAATAATAATACGCGAGAATCAAAGTGTACTCACATCAATAGTCATAACCATAAAACGAAGCCGTATGTACACAATATTTAACTATTACAAATAAAATAGTAATTTTTGAAAGTTTTTTTAAATACTTTATAAAATAAATATCTTTTAACAAATCAAATAACTCTATTTTTATATTGTAGAACTTTCTTATAGATTTATATATAATAAAAATATAATATAAATATAAATAGATAAATAATATATGTATGTATAAATAATTAAAATGATAAAAATACAGTTTCTGAAAATCTAAAAAATGTTATAAAACGATTGAAATTTATATAAGATATGTACGATTAAATTCTAGTCATTTTTTTCTAACACATTTCTAATACATATGCATTTCGCACTTTATGATTTTAAAATTCTGATTTCTGTAAACTATGTTGAGCCGTTGAAATGCAGTAAATAAAGTCTTACAGGCGACAATAATAACTTCCTGATCTTCGAGAATGATTGTTTACGTGAGCACGAATAACTAATAGCGTATTTCACTGGCAGAACCTGTGCGCACTCAGTGCACATTAAAGTTGTTGTACATTAACCTAATCTGACACTGTAAAAGTGAGAGATCTCAGTTAATAAAATACCCAATGTATATTTTATCAAATATCACAATAAAATGCATTAAGGATTTCGTGGTTTAATTTATTTCTATATTTTTATTAAACGTACATTTTTATGTCGATTTATGTACAACAGCTTTAAAGTGCACTGAGTGCGCACAAGCTCTGCCAGCGAAATACGCTATAAGTTTGTTGGGATTAGTAAAAAATGTCATAATTGGTATTCATTCATCAAATCGAAGAAGTTATTGAAGTTATCAGAACTGTGACATAATGCTTATCAAACCTAAATGAGTACAAGATATTGATAGATTATAATTATTAAACAACAAAAAATCTAAAAAAATCAGGGCTAATGAGAGTCAGCATGTGGTAGTTAATACGCAATCTTAAATGTTTATTCCAAAAAATAGAAAGTAATACGTTTAGTTATTATAATTATTTTTTTATCCATTAACAAAAAAATCGGTTTTTACTATGTATAAAAAATATTTTGTACATTATTTTATTTTAAAGAAGAGAATTAGATAACATTTTATATTTTTATATAGTCCCTCAATTGTATTAATTTATAAAATACTTTAAAATTCTTTTAATAAAGCACAATTATCGTTTTCTACAGAAATAAAATTTCTTCTTCCTGACTAAAGTCTATTTTTTTTCGAAGAATATTTTGATCTAGTGTACATTGGTGCAATAAGTTGGAATGAAACAGGTATAGTTTATTTCGCTCCAACTTACTACATCAGTGTACATATTAGTTCAGAATATTCTTCGAAAAAGAATGGATCTTTAATCTTCATTTCTATTTGAAATATGTCCATATAAAGTGTCTTCGCAGTTTCAATGTGTCATTCTTTGAAAATCAATTGAAAACATAATATCTCTCCGAGTAAATTTTATCTATAAATAGACTCGACTAACGTTATATGACTAAGAGATTTCTGATAATTTTACAATTCAAACCAAACAATAAAACATTTCCTGAAATAGGAACTTTTTATTGTGTATATTTTGAGAAATTATTTCTAGCAACAGCTGTCAGTTATCACAGAGGATACGTGCATAAAGAACAATCTTGATTTCCTGCTTCCATTGACTTGATAATTTCATACCACAAATGGGCATTGTACCCGCGAATCAGCAAAATAAATCCAGATACCAGGTTTCTTATGTCAGAGCGAGCGTCAATCACTGGTATTGCGATTTTAGTTTGATAATAGTGAAGACACTCGCGCGTAACGTTGACATAGACGTGTACGTATGTAGAGAGCAAGATGCCTTCGACCTCGGTGCTAAGACGTGCTCAGTGATGATCGGTTTCCTGTGAAAGAACGCAAATACAGTAATCATATTTATTGTTGATATACGTTTTATGAAATGTTAATATTATTTACTAGATATTAAAGTCGGAATAAAGTTTGCGATCTTTGCTCAGGTTACTGTCACCGATTTTTACTAACGTTTAAAAAATAAGAATCTCTGTGCAAATGTGCGAGAAATTAATATTTATATCTCTAGTTAACGTATCTGTTTATATAAGATAACATAACGTTTAACAATATTTTAAAATATATTAATTTTTCATATTCAAGAAATACAAAATATAAATCCGCATTTTTTGTCGACACTTAAAATGATATTACATAATTTTATAAATTTAATTGAATCGCGATCTTTGACGTAAATGTCTGAACGTATAATTTGTTATGAAAAGAAATAAATTATTAATAATAATCAGCTTATTATATATTTATTATTCAGCACAAGGATAATGAATCTATTTGTCAGAATTCTTAGAAAAAAACGCGATTTAACTTGAAGAAACATAATTGATTGTATTGTATTATATACAGAATTATTATTATATGTCAGAATTATTATTTTGCTGCTATTATTTTCTCATTTGAAATCTCATATATATTTCTCAATCCTTAGTTCTATTCATATTTAAAATAATTATTGTACTTGGCTTGCATGGAATATTATATCATCTAGGTACAACAAATAATGACACTGAATATATATGCGTCAGATATTAGATGCCTGCTCATTACAAGTACATAAAGAGGTGATAAATAAAAATGTACATACATGATTTCTCTAATTACAAACACGATAGTTTGTTTGCTTTTCATTAAGACAGATTATTCACTCATCTATTTGTCATATGACTCGTCTTTTGAAATATAACTCGTGTGCAAATATGACTGATAATTCAATTTAAAATACTATTTATATTTTCTGTGATTATTCTATTTATTTTATTATCAATGATTCTGTTTTTATGATTCTTAGAGTTCCTTAGAGTTGACACTCATTTGTCACATTATTCTCACGTGTCAGTGCGATAATAGTCACACTTATCATTTAAATGACGCAAATTTACAAAGTAAAACGGAAAAACATATTATTAAATACATTTTTACTTATAATCCAATTTATTCTGCGTATTATAACAGATGTAACGATTTTACTATGAAAAAATGTCGTGAATTCTGTAAATAATTTTTACGGGAATACATAGTCTATACGCGCATTGAAATAATTTTTTAAATAATTAAAATTGTTGTATTCTCTATCTACTTATAAAATAACACGTGGTAATATGTAATAGAGGAATATATAAACTGAATAAAAGCTTTACAAAATAAGGCAATAATTTATTTTAAAACGGAGCTCAAATAAGAAGACTAAATAGTTAATTATTTTGGTAAGTATACTAATTTGCTTATTTAATATATGTATATTAAGAGAAAAGAATGGATATTATATTATATCCACGTATATATACATATAATTGTGTACAAAACTTACATTTTTATCATTATATATGTATATATTTAACATGTTATCTATTGTCTAATTCTTTATAAATCTGCAAATATGTATGACATTAATCCGGATCTACAATAAGATTTTAAGCCTTAAGCCATAAGAAATGGGCGAATCACAGTCGCTTATTCTTCTCGGATTCGACTGTAATTGGTCAATTTCTTACGGCTTAAGGCTTAAAACACCTATTGTAGATCCGGGGTAAATAACAGTACATCCGGATAATTTAAACATGTTATACGCCATCTGTGTATGCTATTATTATTATTTAAAATGTTTTGAATGTTTAATCATTAGTTTAGTTTTTCTGAGGTTATTAATGGAATAAAAATAAAATAAATAATGAACAATAAAAGCAAGAAAAGTTTGATACAATTTATCCACGGTTAACATCCGCTCTAAATTATATACTTATGTAACATTTATTACTGATTGTAATCTTAAAGTTTAAAATTCTTTAATTTTTTTTATGAATATATAATATATATCTTTACACTATTATACTTCGGATAACAAAGTAAATAATAAGATTCAATATTTTCGAAGAATATTCGTTTGAATTGTGTGTGTGATACGAGTTTATATAAAATACCCTGTATGGTATATGCCGTGCAATTGTTTAACATTTGCAGATGTAGATTGTTCCTCGGGCAATTTACGCAAGATTTAAAAGTCTATTAATTGTTACGTGCAAACTTTGTCTCGACGCATGGAAATACCGATTAAAAATAATCGATATTTATGTCTATCCATGATTTTCATTGTACACTCTATAACAATTCTTTTATTGCATGAGAGTTCTTTTTCTCCCGTGTCAAGACCCACGTTCAAAGGTGCATCAATGACGCAATTGGTTTTCCTCTTGATAATTATCAGACACAATTGTTTAATCCGTAATCCAGGCGTCGTATGGTACTTGAGCAAAAAGGTTTTCGACGAAACTCGACATCACTTGTACTAGTTTCCTCCTTAGATCCGGTTTCATTTCTTTCAACAATTCTTGACTGTTGGTATTGATGAAAAGATTGAGTGCCGCCACTAAAATAAAAGTGATATTAGAATATGTTTCAAAATTTTAAAAATTAATGTTATATTTAAAATGTATTTTCTAAATGAATTAATGAAAAAATATTCCATTCTATGGCGTTTATTAGACACATACTTAACTCTTCTTTTAAAATTAATTTATATTGATCTAATTTTTTGGTTCAATTTTTAAATAAATTTTTTATTTATCCTGAGATATATTATTATTTTGTTGTATAATATTATTGCACTGTTAAGATTATAATTGTATTCTTTTTGAAAACATGGAATATGAAAGAAACAACTTAAAAGTTATTATACAGAAATTAGAACCTACGTAATATGCTGTTAGTGTTGAGCACGTTTTCGACTCCCATTCTGATATCCTTTACGCTGAAGTCCATTTTCAGTTGTTGCAATCTGAGATAACGACGGCCCTCATATAAAAATGGTTTTGCTCTAATAAAGACCTTGGCCCTGACATCCTCTAGAAGAAAAAATGAAAAACTTAAAATTATGTAAAAAAAATCATAATGAATAAAATAAAAGATATCGTCGAACTCTAATAAATTTGCATAAATTACGCTGTGTTTTTTTAACAATAATTGTTAAGAGTACGCCTTTTTAGGTCCGATCTTAGTGCTCGACCAATCGCTTGTTATTTGAGGTCAAGTCTTTTATCTTGATTATTACCGGTTTCCTGTTCTTCTCCTATCGCCATTAATCGATTCTTGATTTCCCGG